CAGATGAGAATAACCTTTAACTTTTTGTTGCTATCTGTCAGAATTGAAACCACAAATATATAAAAAATCTGCTGAAGGTAACAACTCAGACACTTCATGATAATGACTTATACGAATTAGAAGATATGGTATGATTTCTCCAGTAGAGACCAAATGATGTACAAGTTAACAACTATAGGTCACTGTACGTCCTTCAATGATGAGCAAAACCCATACCACATAGTAAGCTATAAATCGCCCCCGAAATGACAAATATAAAACAATTCAAAGAGAAAACTAACGACCTGATTTATGTACAAAACAATGAACGAAAAACAAATGTGATATACAGCAACATACGACAACCAACCACTGAATTACAGGCTCCTGACTTGGGACAGGCACATACAGAATGTGGTAGGGATAAACTTGTTTGTGTACGCCCAAGTCACTACATCTTCTTAATAGATACTTTAAGTTACATCTAAAGCAAGGGCTACATCTTTATGTTTTTTTGGGTCGGATCAATTTAAAAATATAATCATATTGCAGATATTATTGACTATTGATATGTTAATGAAGAAGCTTTAGAGTTCCTTTAATAAGAACACCGTGGTGTGCATTAACCCTATACTAATTAGACTTTGGTTTTGAGATTTACCCTATGGAATGATGTTACCTTTAGAATTTTGAAGTTATCAAATGTGATTTTGTTGTCTTCAAGCTGTGAAGCGTTTTAATATAATGATCAATAGTTAAAAGAGTATATAAATTGATAACTGTTTTGATTGCTTCATTTAGTTCTCAAAATTTTTACATCTTGCATTGAAATGATGAGCATTGAACTTCTCGTCATTTGGTCTCTGATGGGGAGGCATCTCATTGGCAATCATACCAGTAACCTCATCTTCTTATTTTACTAAAGACAAGCGGATATAGGTCATGTAAGCTAATTTGTATTTTTGTCTGCCTTGAGCTGTTGCATTTAAAACAAGGATGGCATATAATGGTTATAAATGTTTTAACTGAAATAAGAAGCTGACATTTTCTTTTTGTAAAGGCCTAAACATTTTTTTTTTTATCTTTAAACAGCCTTAACATTCAATTCTACAAATTATTGAAGTTATTTTGCCAGTCAGCTGGTAACAGCTGCTCGGGGAAATACATGTAGGAAGATAAACAAAGGTTTAGATATATAATAAACAATTTTACAGTTGTTTATTTATTACAGAAAATTAGCTTTATAATTGAATAAAAAAATGCTAACTTGCAGTTCTTGAATTTGGCAAATCAGACAAGGGTATAATAGTAAGAAAATAAATACTATTGCAAGTTACTTATTCATTCTAAAAAAGGGGGATACCCTATAGTATGTTAATTAAAAAGTTAATAAGTTGAAGTTATTGAAAGTGTCTAACAAAATTCTGATTTTTGCATGCTGATTGATTACAAGTGTGGAAAACATTTTTGGTTACGATGCTCATTTTCATTTTGAAGAACTTCACAGATTTTAATTAGCCAGGTTTCATGAAATGCAAATCAGTTCATAGTAGGTTATAGTCTAGTGGTACCTGCTTTTGTGTTTCAACTTCTACAGTTTTCCACCCAGAGCTTTAAGCTATTCAGAATGTTTGTATATACCCTGAAAATGTGCATCTCACTTTGTTTACATATTTTGATTATTTTGTAGATTTTCAGTCATAGTGAAACTTGGTCATTTTTCAGCAGCCTTCTAGAAGGAAGGTGGCCATTTTTGGATGCTTGAGTCTGTTTTAGCTAATTTATCCTGGGAGACATTAGTGTTCCTTAGTTTGGGTAAATTGTAGAAAAATCACCTTTCCATTGAAAAAGATGCTCCCTTGAGCATGTTAAGCATTTTAAATTTTATTGTAATTACCATTTATATAGCCTTTCAAATTACAAACCACAAGTATTGAAAACTGGCCTTTTGAGTCTTTGACCCGTTTTCATAACTTTAAAAAAAATTCAGCATGCATGGTTAAATACGCAGTTGTGGTTGATAAGTTTTTTGACATATATATTGGAATATTGAATAGTGGAAGGTGTTCTGTTATACTATCCTTATTTTTTTGATATTTGAGAATGATTTTTGCTTGTCACATACCCTGAGGTAACTAGTTTATAAAATGATTTAAGAGTTGGATGTATTTTCTTTCATGTGGTTATCTCTTTAATTGTGGTCAGGTGTATTTAATGACAGATGAGTGGACAGTCCAGTTTTTATGACAAATAAATTGTTTGTTAAGTGTCATCATCTGACCAATCAAAAACCAATAATTGTCCAGCTTCAGGGGCTCAACATGGGGATAATGTATACCTATTTCATATTTATGTTGAGTTTCATAGGTACAAGTTTGTCCAGTTGTTTAATGCAAGCATAGAATATCATAGTTTAGAGAAAAATAGATTGCACAAAGTACCCTAACTTTCAACAACTAACTGATCAATCCTTTCACATTCTGGGTGGATGAGTATGCCTACAGAAGCAAGGGACTTATAGTTTTCCTCTCAGTGTGTCTGTCATCCACTTCTGGTTTAGGTGTAGATATACAAGATAAATTTTATTTCCAATAGAGGACCCATTATAGGCATAATCCGTACATTGATTTTTTTTTATCACACAATTGCAATAGTCAATACACAAGAAAATAAAAAATAGAAATACAACTGACAAAAAACATGAAATATAAATTGAGTTAATAATACATGTAGTCACATAAACCAGTATGTTTAGTGTTTATTGACCATGCACCAGAAGCAACATCACATCCATTATAAAAAAAGCTTTTGAGTTAAGTCCTTCCTCGTGGCTGATGCATATAAACAAATAGTATTGTTGTTCATATGCAGGAGTCACCAAGATATAAGATAGTTCAATGTTAAGTAGATGGGGTTTTAACATAAAAACTCATCAATAAACATATTATAGTGAATCTATTTTATTTAAAATTTATGCATAAAAGTGGATAACAATTGATATTTTTATTGAAAGTATTTGTAAAGGTTAAGACAGAGACATATATCCAATGTGTAAATATGTCTCTGCTTTTAAAGGTTTACCACAAAGTTTGATTTAAGCAATGCAAAGTAATGTGGATTCTTTATAGGTCAGTAACTAATGTGCATGGATAACATGGGTTTATTTATGTGAACCAGGAATTTAAGAATTCATTAAAATACAAAATTACTTAAGGCTTGTATGCAGAATATAACAAAAATGAAGTTGTTCTACACAAATACTATTTTACTTCAATCGTAAGAAATTTGTACCAATAAAAATAAACGAATCCATAGTATATGTGATAATGTCTTCAATGATGTGTCTTACATTCAAGCTGCTACGTATGGAAACCTATTGTTGAAGCACCTATATAATATGTTTATAGCTGTTGCACATTGTCCGTTAGACACAGATACATGCATTTTTGTTAAATTTATAAATGTGCATGTAAATCTTAAATGTCCTAAAACTTCTTGAATTTATACACATTTTTCTCATCTCTTTTATAGAAATATACTGTTAGTAGTTAGATATTTTGACCCTTTTCTTATAAAGGCAGTTTTTTCAAATGTTCATATTTCAAGAGAAAATGCATCATTTGGGTAAGAAATCTATTGAATAATGTATACTTCAAAAGAACAGTGTGAAAGCTGTGATTTTATATTTGAAATTGATTGCCAATAGTTCAATGTATGTTTAAAGCACATGTCAAATGTTATTAAGCTGTTTGACAAGCTATTACAATTCGAATGATTTAGGTGTCAAAAACTTGGCTATTACATTTAGATCTATGTTATTACCCCCAATTACAGGGCACAGACATTTATCAATGTAAACACTGGTATTCAAACATTCTAATTTTTTATTAGATTTGTGAAAAATCAATATAAGTACTTGTTTTGTTTGGACTGAAAAGTTAAATGTGTAATTTGCGGGGGCAATTGGTATTTTAAAAACTCTAGAGAATTTCAGGTAGGGGTCATAATTGAAAGTTGAAAATTGTAAAAGTGTCATACAAAAAATGAAGTATGTTACTGGGTCAAAATAATAAAAGACGTTTTCATGTATGCCTAACTTTTGATAGCTTGCAGAAGAAAAAAAATAGAACATTGTGTATTTTGTTTCTATGTTAAACATGAAATCTGTTGTCTCTCATCTAGCTGTGTCCCCCATGGAGTTATGATTGTATTTAGAGTTTTTGTCAATAAGTACATGATTGTGTTTTATAAAAGTAACTGTAATTTGATTTTTTTCCATCTACTGTCTCATATTTTCACACTTGAGTATTTGATATGTTCCACTTGAAGCTTTCTTTCACAAGGTATTTTCTGATTTCTGATTTGAACCAAGAGGGATAACTCTAATAGGATTTCTGGCAGGAATGAGAAGTCAAACAAACTGACAAATCACTTCAAATGATATTCCTGATAGAGTTGTATAGAAGTATTTTATGGTTTTATAATATTGCTAGTTGGTTGTTTAACCCTCACTGTGTTCATGGGAACTAAATGATCTGTGATGACTGTTATTGTATCAATAACACTTCAATAACATTATAGAAAAAGAAATGCAGTAAAAACTTAGATAATCATTTCTTGGATTGGTGATTCCTCATAATATAGCAGATACTGGTTGCAGTGGAGACCAAGTTGTCATTGTTGTCTAAACAGTTTAGGGTTTTATATGTATATACATTTATTGTGATTTTTACTCAAACCATCAGAATGTTCATCTAAATATATATACACAGTGATCAAATATTGCACATGGTAAATTTAAAATTTCATTATTGTTAAATAAATAACACATGCTCTTGAATGGTATATGAATAAAAGCAGATACCTCAGTGAGACAGCAATCCAACAACACAATATTTTTTTTTAGCAATTTTGATATTCTATATTCATCATATCTACAGAACATTTAAAAGTACAAAGGTTAAGACAATTGATAAGACTGTTTTTCTTTGATTTCTTATTTTGATTTGTTTATTTTTCAGAATTAGATGTGAATCCAGAGTATATGCAAGTGATATCTGATGCTGCCGCTAATGTGCAGAAACGATCATCATCAGGTTCTGACAAACAAAAATACCTGGACCGCTCACCAAATAATTCATGTACATCACCTAAACAGTCATATTTGAATAAATCGCCAAACCAGTCGTATTCCGAGAGATCTCCAAACCATTCATATTCAGAAAAGTCACCAAAACAATCAGTAATTGAAAAATCACCAAAACATTCATTATATGAAAATGTGCCAAAACCAAATTCACCGAAAACTTTAGTAACAAATAACGGTGATGATACAGAGTTTCTTGACAAAGTGTCCAAATTTGAACTTATTTCGCATAATAGAACTTCACCGACTGTTAAATCTCCTATGCGAGTAATGCCACCTGATATTCCTTACCAAGGGTCACCAGGAAATACGATTAATAGGAGACATAACAGTTCTTCAGGTGTTTCGCCTCATGCAGGTGAAAAAGTTTTCACCCGTGAAACTGTAACCACACGAGTACCTGCTAGTATTTTATGTGGGAAATCTACAACTGAGCGTGTGCCAAGTACAGGAAGTACAAGTTCTAGCTCATTAACAAGTGTCAGTAGTAACAGTGGAGCAACATTATCTTGGAATTCCGACTCTCCAAAATTAAATATATCCAGTGATAAAACTAACCATATATCTCCTACTGGTAGTAAAGGAAATTCACCGAATTCTAGATCTCCACTGAACAGTGTTGCCATTACTCCTAAACAAAAGGAGAAAAAACCATTCAGTTTTACTGAATCTGCAACATCAAGAGTAAGAAATGCAACTGATGCAGATCTCTTGGCAGAGAGCATTATAAATGGTGACTTCCTGGGAACATGTGATGTAGAGAGTAATAGGAATACTTTTGATGGTATGGACTTTGATTTTAATGAATTAACTGCCAGTCAACAAGATTTAACAATGAAACATAGAGAAAATGTGGAAGAGAGAAAGAAGGAACAAGAGCAAGAAAAAATAGAAAAACAAAGATTAGAAGAAATTTTAAGTATGTGTGCTGAATATGAAAAACAAATAGAAGAAGAAAAAGTTGTGCAAGAAAGTCCAAAACCAAAAACGACTGCCTTTTCAATGCAAAAGTTTTTAGAATCAGCTCAAAAATCATCTGAAGTGGAAAAACAAACATTGCCAAAAGACAGTCTAGCATATGTTGTTGGACAACAATATTCTCATTCAGCACCTAAACTAGGTCAAGAGTCATTTACTGACTCATATCCAGTGTCTTCTTCTCATGTTGGTCATCAGACATTTTCTAACACTTATTCTCCAACATACACATCATCAGAGAGACAAACATCATCTACTTCTCAGCTTAAGTCTCCATATACTGTTAATAATGTGTCTCCTATGATGAATGGACCATACAATTCTTATACAAGTAATGCTGTAACTCCATCTAAAGGAACACCTCCTCCTGTGTCACCAAAGCCTGTCATGACAAAAAGTTTTGATACATTTTCTACTTCTGTTCATAATGATTTGATACAACAAAGTATCCCTGTGACGACGTCTAAACAATGGACTAATCAAGTACAGCCAAAAACACCAACAAATACTGATCATGATTATTTTTCTGGTGTTATGACATCGAATTACAATGGAGGGCTTCCAGTAGGAAATAGACAAATAAAGGAGAACTCCTCCAAAAGATTTTCACCTCCAGACTATGAAAATGATTTTGTTGATTCTGCAAAATCTGTCTCTTTTTCTTCAAATATTGTACAACCTTCATATGGTATGTCAACAATGGATAGTAGTTATGCTGGAGAACAGCAGTTTAAGGGGAATAACTTTCCACTGACCAAGGGGAATAACTCTCAGGACAATTCAAGTTCAGATTTACAAGAGATGTCAAATAAAACAGAAATGTATGGCTCTGAGGATCTTAAACCTAATCATTATACTGTATCTGGTGAGAATCAGTCACCAAAGTTTGATGAAAATTCATTCAAAATCTCACAGGTTCAAAGACCGAATCAGTTACCAAGTTTTCATGACTTCACAAAAGAAGTTCATTCTTTAGATAGAAAAGAAAAATCTGAATATAGAGGATCCATGACAAAAATAAAAACCAATGGTTCATTAGCAATGCTGAATTCACCAAATAATCCTCATAAAGATGTTGCACATGGTTTCCAAATGAGACGATGTAGTTCAAATTCTTCAAACTCAGAAGAAGAATCGACAAGTGGAACCAACTCTGAAGATACTGGAACTATTAAACGTCGACCAGAAATAAATCGTAATAAAGAAAACTCTCTAGGAGGATCTCCATTACAAAGTCCACGTCTTTCACCTCGCATGGGCAGCAAAAGTCCTCAAGTTACACGTCGTCATTTTAAAGCAGATGACAAATCTAAGGAATTACTCAATTCTCCTACAGAACAAACTCAAAGTGTTCAAAGTTCGTTTGATTATTTTAATTCTGCAGTAAATGGTATGGCTTTTATTGATGAGTCATATGATAACCAGAGAAATAATGTTATGACCAATCAGAGTCATGGAATGGCGTTTATTGATGAGTCATATGATAACCAGAGAAATAATGTTATGACCAATCAGAGCCATGGAATATATGAAAATCTTCAATGTAGGAATAATTCAGTTACGAATACTGGTATTGTAAATGGATATCAGTCCACAGAAAGTAATTCCATTGAAATGGACCAATCATTTTCGAGATCCAGATTATCTGGAGGATCAGCAGGAAGTAGGAAATCAGATGACAGGTTGACACCAGTAAATAATGACGCTCCAATTTCCAAAAGTAGAGAACGTCTGAGATCAGATTCCAGTATGGTAAGGGTACAGTTACACAGATATTGTAAAATATTCCAAAATCTTCCTTAAAATAATGCTAAGTAGGTCTGACATGCACCTTAGACATGTTAGACAATGGCCTCCTAAGAAAGGTGGTCTCCCAAGAGGGGTAAAATGTTTTGATAGGCAAATTCGCCATGATATCACAAAATTGGAAATTTACTTTCTAGGTCGGAAGTAAAGAAAAATCTTCTTTATATTTACCATGTTTATATGAGAGTCCAAATTTAAATTGACATGATTTTTTTAGTCATTTTATATAAATTTAAATAATTTTGAAGAGAAAAATTTGAAGAATCATTTATTTTAAATTTAAATGATGGATAAGAATATTCTGAAGTTCACAGAACAATTTACAGAACTAATGTTAGTTAAGAAATAACAAAGTTTTAATTTTTGAAATTAGTTACTTTCCTCTTAACTGGAATAATTCAGTCCCTCCCCGTCTATCCTACTTGCGAGGGCCTGAATTCCTTACACGATAAAAACTCTTCACGAATCCTAGATTTTGATTGGTACCCTGTAGAAGAGGTGACCAATCAGCAATCAGCTCAATTTTATCGAGATATGTAAATCCTGAGCTAATTCCGATTGATTGATTGAAGATCTGTCATTGTCTATGCATTCAGGCGTTAATTGAGTAATCGTAGATCAGCGGAATATAACGACTGAATTATTCGGGTTACTTTCCTCTTAGCTTGATATTCAAATTGTTAATCAACATGACTTTTTTATGGCATTTTTGGTGAGTTTCATCCTTTATTTCTAATTATGATGGCATTTTTTTTTTTATCATTTTGTCTTACCAAATTTAGGGGAAAGGTAAAGTGGTTTTAGACATTAAAAGGTTTATGACTCAGAAATCAAGTCAAATTCAAACTTTCATGATAGGTAGTGATGTTGCATCAACATTTTGCAACTTGCTAAATACATGTTATAAATCTTTTGAAAATTTAAGTCAACATCCATAACCTTTTTCCCCGTTAAAATATGATTCAAAAGGCATAACACTGGACCAATAATTGCAGTAGCTTTGAGCATTGAACTTTACTTGGTAGATAGTAATTTTGCATAAGGTTCTTCTGTGAAGCAAACATAAAATATCATTTAGTTCTAAACATTTCCTTTATTCATGCCGTGTCATTGAATATAGATAACCATTCCATGAGTTTTTACAAGAGATTGGTTATTGTTCCATGTGATCCTATCCTATATAGTAGGATATTTTTGCAGATTTGTAAAATTTTGTGGTTTAAGTATAAAAATCATGAAATTTTCAGCACATTTTAAGATAATATGAAATTGAAAATGACTTGAATTATATATCTTTCAAGTGATTTATTTAAACAGATGTACTTGCTTATAACAAAGTTTTAATAAGGCCCCTGCAAATTATGGTTTCCCTACCTATATTGTGATTGGTCTGTCTTTCCAAATGTCTGTATGGGCCTGTCTCAAACAAACCATGCCAAGTACCTATTGGAATCAAGTTTTGATTCTTGTTATGGGTGTTTGCACAACAATCTTGTTAACATCTCTGTACCTGCCAATTTTGTATTTTCTTCTATAAAATGTATTTCAAGCAATACAAGACCAGTAGGTTCTGACCCTCAGCAGAAGTTCTCCATCTTAGAGATATCAAATGAAGGTGAAAGTCAATCAGGCAATTTTTAATTATTGTTTTTTTTTTTCAATTTTTAAGCTGGCTCTGTATTAGTACATAAAAGTCATACTCATATACCTTTAAATACTCACATCCTGAGGACTGTTTTTTGGATAACCAAACCATTTAATTTTAATGGAAAAATCTGATCAAAATTACCACTTGCCTTAATTATTGTGTTATTTCTCCTAGATGGAAATGATATATTCAGAAAATGGTTTTTTGATGAATCTGTCTTTATTTTCCCTTATTAGAGTAAGGAATGTGAAATGTAAAGTTAGTAGTGAAGATGCTTCAGTACCACCTTCAGTACCACCTTCAGTACGACCTTCCCACTGATTACATGCTAATTATAGTCCATATGGGATGGTACATGTACCAGTATGTATTACCTAATAGGGAAACAATTGTCATAATTGAATTTTAATTGATAAATAGCAGAGAACAAGTAAACCTTACAAACAGTAGTCAATACAAAATTCAAAAACTTATTTTAAAATATTTAAAAGTCATTTCATATTCATAAATATTATATAGAAGTTATGCATTACAACAGGTTAATATATGTCAAAAACTTTTACAAAAACGATATCAATAACAAAATTACGTCTGTAAAAGAAAACTGATACCAAAAGCATATGTCACAAGATAAGTACATGTTTTCTGATCTAAAATTAATCTAAATATCAAATTTAACTTCAAATAAGTAAAACTGAATTTAAACTTCACTTAAAATATTTTTTAAAAGTTTGTGAAATACTTTAGTGTTGACTAATTTTAAGTAGTTTGTTATAAGGGAAGTAACATCTTTCTTTCAAGTGTTAGGGTATGAAAAAAGAATAAAATTGAAGTTTTAAACTAGTTTTCATACTTACCGTCTTCTTTATAATGCACAATCTGTATTTTATGATAATACATGTATGGACTATTCAAATGAAAAAAGGAGTGGTATTTTATTTTTTCATATGATATAATAACTTTGACTTCCGAAAAACTATGACATGCTTAACATCAAAGAAAAAACTTGAATAGAAGAGACACTGTGATTAGTCAAAGTCATTGTACTAAAACCTTGATCTTTAAGTTAAATAGTCAATGATCTAAATACACTGGGTCATCTGTGTTTGACGGTTAAATTGTCTGAATTAGATATTTATGTTTTAAGTTGATCCGTCAACATATTTTTACCTGTGTTTACCTGTATAACATATTATCAAATTTTGGTTTATCTTTTAATGGCCGATTCCTTGAACCTAGCGTCTAATTCATAAATGAGTGGGATTCCCAAAAATGGTATGTATTTTAACTTTTAAAATTAATTTCCTCTTGATTATAGAAAGAAGTTGACATCTTACTCTTTTCTAAAGATCAGTACTTGGTAGATAATGGTAAAATTCTTGTTTTGTTTTTGGTTGTATGTTTGTTTTTAATTTATAAGTGACAAGTGTTATGATAAGAAGAAAATATTATTTGAATTAAGTGAACTTTAGGATTGGTTGTCTCTAAAAGTTATATCTATATCTTCACTAAATAAAGTATTTGTCTGAAATAGAGAACATCTACCCAATAACAGTAAGTTAAACATCAATACAAATCATTTTCATAAATCAAAGTTTACATTAAAAATAAATAAACAGTTGACTTAATTGACTACAAAAATCAAGAAAAATAATTGTAGTAAATTTGGATATCTACTGAATTTTGTGCACAAGTTTTGTTTCTGTTGTCAAAATGTGTTTTAGGTAGAGTTTTCTAAAAAATAATGATGTACATAGTTCACTTTTTAAACAACATTCAAGTCAGATTGTTTTGAAATACAATGTTATAAATCCTTAAAAAAAAAACAGGGAATAATTTGATCTCATAACATAAAATCCACAACATTTGCAAATGAATTCTGATGTTAATTGTTGAGTTATCTACCTTCATGTAATTGTTTACAGTGCATTCTATAGAATTTATATCTCCTATGAAAACAGTATGATAGAGTGGAAGTGACTACAGACTGTCTAACCATGTATAGTCAAACCTGTATATGATGGTCACCTTATAAGAAAGGTGACCTTTTTAATTGAGTTCCTAAATGCATAGGTATAAATGCAGCAGGCCAAGATAAGGGTGACCTTAGAAGTCAGGTTTTCACTTAAAAGAGGTGACCTTTATAACACATACAACCTCATTCTTAACAAAGTTTTATGTGAAAATCAAATAAAGATTTGTTTACTACATTATTTTTTCTGAAAGACACCCATTTAAGACTTACTGGAAAAAATTCTTAGCAGGTTTGACTCTACCACCTACTACCTCATTCTTAGCACAGCATTTTATGTGAAAAATCATTCAAATAAAGATATTTAAACTACCTTATTTTTCTGAAAGACGCCCGTTTAAGGCTTACATGAACAAACTTCATTCACTAAATAGAAAATATGAGGAGAGTAGGTTGTATATATAATTAAGAAAGAATCATAGTTTTAGGAGTTTTGATACCAGTAATATTTATAACAAAGTAGCACTTTTAATCCTCACTGCATTCACATAATATTTTCTATAAGTATGTTACAAGTATCAGCATTTTATTTCTAGACAATATCTTTCAAACCAACAGACCAATTCAAATTTCTTTTTATAAATAAGTTAAGCCAGTTAAGCCAGTTGACCCCAGGTCAATCAAAGTAATTGGTGTTATTGAACAATCGACTCTTATAGTGACGTAATAACATAAGCATTGTGACATCAGAAATATACCGCAATATGTACAATGTGAAAGTGGTCTGTTAATTTCTGTGTCATTTGGTCTCTTGTGGAGAGTTGTCTCTTTGGCAAACATACCACATCTTCTTTTTTATATTTGCTCTATTATCTCTAAATCTTTTGAAAATTAAACATGAGGTCAAGGTCATTCATTACAAGACGCAGAACTGTTTGTCATTGAGTTACTTTCCTGACTTCAAGTTAAATGGGTTCGTTCCTTTGAAATTTGAATACTGCATAAATTGCCATTGGATATACTTCCTCAGTCAATATTTGATAAAGTGATATGTCTTGATTTCTTTCAAATAAATGAGTGAAACTAGGTATAACAATTTTGTCTTGTTAACACCCATCATACAGGAAACAAATGTTTGTACATGTAGAGTCTGTAATAATTAAATGGCACCTACTCTGCAAAAAATGATAAATACTTGTTAACAACTTCAAAAAATGTCAGCGTAGAATGTGTATTTTTGACAGTAACTGACACTGATGTACTTAGAACAATAGTAAACACCTCTACACAGGGTCATAAAAATGGGAAAATACAAGTTATACAGCTTTTACAATGTCATATGTTGTTGTATAGTAAGTTTACATTTTAATTTTTATCAATGAGAGGTTTTTGATAATTTTATAGCTCCTTCATTAAGATTTTAAAAAGGCCCTCTGTTTAAATGTCTACCTTTTTAAGTTGATAATATGTCTGCTTTAAAGAGATTTTTTCTACAGGTCTGTCAAACTCTTTTAACTTCAGAATATAATGCCTGTAGTACAAGGAACTTGGTTATTTATGTTAAAAAAGGGGATACAATTATTATGTGATTTTTAGTTAAGAAGATGTGGTATGATTGCTAATGAGACAACTATCCAAATGACATGGATTTACATGGCAAGCAACTATAGGTCACCCTGAGAGGTTACCTTATGATTTAGATCCTTGAAGGTTAATCCAATCATTTACTGTAAATTCAGGAATTATTGCGTGCATTTATTATTGCGATTTTGTCATTTTAGACTAAAATGCGATTTTAATTTTTGCGATATTGAGAAAAATCCTGTTTAATACATATAAAAATTTCAAAATGCGAGTTTAAATTATTGCGATTATAACCCTGTCGCATTTTTCGCAATAATAAAAACATCGCAATAATTTCTGAATTTACTGTAGTTTAAAAGTTTCCTTTTTTTGCAGGAGTCCAGTACCAGCCAGCAGTTAGATAAATTGAAACAGACCAAAGCTGAACTTGTTAAGAATATTGCCTCATTAAAACAACAAATTGTGGAAATAGAAACACAAGAGAATGAAGCCATTAGAGAGGTACTGCTATAGACAGTAAAAAACACTTTATAAATCGGTGCACCCGACGTACTTTTCTGGATTTACTCTTTATCAGGAATGCTCAAACCTTAAATTTGAAAGCCAAGGCTGTATAGATACTTCATTTATAGAATACTTCATTTATAGATACTTCATTTATAGAATACTTCAAGATCGTTACAACCAAAAGGGACCTAAAAAGAACAGCTAAATTTGAAAATTAAATTGTCACTAGTTAAGAAATATTGTACCACACTGGATGCAGTAGTGTAATCTTTATGTAGTAATTTTATTATGAGAAGTAGAGATCCTATATATTTTATTATGAGAAGTAGAGATCCTATATATTTTATCATGAGAAGTAGAGATCCTATATATTTTATCATGAGAAGTAGAGGTCCTATATATTTTATAATGAGAAGTAGAGATCCTATATATTTTATAATGAGAAGTAGAGATCCTATATATTTTATTATGAGAAGTAGAGATCCTATAAATTTTATATGGAATGCCAACTTTTTGTAATCGTTACAAGTTGGACTGAGTACTCAGAATCATTTTCAATTTTTATGCCCACGCCGTAGGTTTTACCCTTGTCCGTCCGTATGTACATCCTTCCGTCCGTACGTCCCAAAGTTGGTTTCCGTTCTCTAACTTTAGTTTGCCTCAACCAAATGCTATGAAACTTATACACAATGCTTATTACCACACAACACAGATCAAGTTTGAATTTTGGTGGTGTCACTTTAACCGTTCTAGAGTTATGCCCCTTTACAAAAGGAAAAATTGCTGAATTTTTTGTTTCCGTTTTCTAACTTAAGTTTGCCTCAACCAAATGTTATGAAACTTATACACAATGCTTATAACCACAAAATACAGATCAAGTTTGATTTTTGATGGTGTCACTTTTACTGTGCATCTTAAATATCAGGTTTATAACTACAGAAATGATTTCATGAAACCTCATAAATTGAGCAAGAATGAAATAATCAGGTGCAAATTTGTAAAATTGCTGTGTATGATATTTCATTTAGTTGGAGATGGAGCGAGCTTTACTGGAAGGGGAGCATAACACTGAAATGGAGGAATTACAACAAGAACAAGACAGAATTAATGCTCTGAAGCTTCAACAGGCAGAACTGATAGAAAGATCTGCTAAAGAAAGAGAAAAAGTATGTATAATCTAAGCTTATAAAAAATCTTGTATTCAGAGAAATAAAGAATCTATGTTCTCAAGTTTCAACAGTCCCACTCAACTGTTAAAAAAATAGGCACAGAGAGAAAGATTTAAGTGGAGGACACTTATTGAATTGACAGGAACATGTTGAAAAATGGGAGCTTTTTAGTTGAAATATCAGCTTGACCTTGGAGTTCAGCCTTCTATAGGAGTGGCAAGCCTTCAAATATCAAAATCATCTTTCAACTGGAGAGATTTCCAGAGACTTTTAAAATAGTCCATTCTGAATTGTGGTCTCCTGATACCTTTAATGAAATTTTTTTTATTTTGACATATACAATACAAACAAAAAACTAAGGAAATAAATTATAATGAAACAGCACCTTTTACTGTCACTAAGATGATGTAATAGCAAAAAATACAGTGTGATTGAAAACTGCATAAATTTGTTTTGGTTTTTTTTGAGAAATTTATGATATAAATTACTATTGGACAGGTTTTATTACTGGTCAGTATATTATTTGGTAATGCACATTAAGTTTTGTTACATGCATGGTCAATGTTTTATTGCCTGTCCTACTTCTCCCTAAATCATGTCATGCATATGTAATTAATTGTCACATTTTTTTTATGTTGTCAGATCAAAACTTAGTTGTTTTTCAGAATTACAAGTGTGAATGATTAGATGCTTGTCAGCTTAATTTTATTTTATGGGTTTTTCATAAGTATTGTGTATTTTTAAGCAATTTCTTAGACTAAGCATCACTTTTCATCAGCATAAACCAAGAAAATATATATTTCAGCTGGTCACAAGGTCGAACATGATTTTAGAATAAACATGAAATATATTTTATTATATCAGGCTGCTCCAGTGTTTTGACAAAAATAAAATACTAAATATGATACAGAACAAGGGAAGACAAAACTTTTTACTCTGTCTATAACTTGTGCATGCATTTTTAAGTAGAAAGTCTTTATATTAAAGTTAGTTTGTATCCTTTATAGTAATTTATCCCTTTATTCACCCTTCCCAGCATGGGATACATCTGTCATCTGTGATGTTGAAAGTTTTAGAATGACTAAAATTCTTTAAAATTTGAATTTCTGCTGTACATATGTTAGAAAATAGAAAATGATCATTCAGCAGGGGGTATATCAATCTTGAAATTTAAGATTTCCATCCTCCTAAAAATTACACATGTAACGAAATGGTTAATACAAAATAATGCACATACCACCGTTTAAAGTTCTTACACTCATAGTACCAGTTTTATGATTGTTATGGGTACCAGATTGATAGATTGTTATGGGTACCAGTTTTGATAGATTGTTATGGGTACCAGTTTTCATAGATTGCTCTACATACCAGTAGATATCCTTGGATTCTGGTCCAACCTCTACTTGGTATCTGTAAGATGAGTGGTAGAATTGATGTGACTAGCATTAAGTGCTGATCAGGAATGAACGTACTTTGCATGTGCATGTTATGTAAACAGTTAATAAATAGTTGGAATCTTCAATTAACAGTTGATTAACAATGTAAATCAATAAGGTTTAATTAGATATAGACATATTTTTACTGTAATAGCATTTTGCATGAATTTTAAACTAATTTTCAACAAATTCATGGCTATGTAAATATTTCGTGTCATATGTCCAAGAAATGATGCTATTTCACAATGCATTGTTCTTGAACCCAATGAGCAAATACATGTCCTTACATGCCACCTGTCTATACTGACGAGCAGTGGGTCCAGCATCCCATAGATTGCTATGGTTCTGTTTTCATGGATTACACACCAGTTATTTGTTAGCTGGTTCTTTAAGTAGTGTAGACCCCACCAACAAATCACTTTTTTTTTAAACTTTGAAAAATAGCTTCTTTTATAATACACTTACAGTATATGTTTCACTCAGTTGATATTTATCAAGAAATATGATTTTGTACAAGTTCATCTATGTGTTAACTAAATTGACTCAAAAATTGCATGGAAGATTGTGATTGATTGATTGATTGGTGTTTGCTTTATGCCGCATGAGCGCAAAAAGGCTATATCGCGGCGAGAGCTAATTCAATGGAAGATTGTGAGTGAGGCTACTGATTTTACATATTTTAGGATAGTATATGATTTAATACTTTTTACTGAGTGTTATTGATGTGTAAACTGGGACAATTAACTGACAAAATGAATAAAAGTATGAATGACTTTAATATTAAGTTTGTGAGTCAGCAGTCAATATAAAAAGAAGATGTGGTATGATTGCCAATGAGACAACTCTCCACAAGAGACCAAATGACACAAAAATTAACAACTATAGGTCACTGTACAGCCTTCAACAATTAGTAAATCCCCATACTGCATAGTCAGCTATAAAAGGCCCCAAAATGACAAATGTAAAATAATTCAAACGAGAAAACTAACAGCCTGATTTAAGTACAAAATAATGAACGAAAAACAAATATGATATACAGCAACAAACGACAACCACTGAATTACAGGCTCCTGACTTGGGACAGGCACATACAGAACGTGGCGGGGTTAAACTAGTTTGTTGGCGTCAACCCCTCCCCCTAACCTGGTTCAATAAGAATTATAAATAAGTACTAACCATGGAAAGTAGTACTTATAGTACTGTTACTAACATCTACATTATTTGGTCTCTAGTTGTCTCAATGGAAATCATTTAAGGTGGTACCCAACACCTTCACTAAAATTAATTTGGCTCGTTTAATTTTCATAAAATTTTGACAAAGTATTTACTTTGACCCTTTGACAAAAATATAAAAATTTCAAAAAATTTGAACCAACCAATTTATCAGAAAAATTAGACTGGTTATATAGCAGTTTGACAAACACTAACTTTGATCATTGAGAAGCTTAATATTCCCTTAACAACACAACGTAATTAAAACGTTTAGCTGATTTTACTCCCTTTTACTTGAGTTATCTCCCTGTAGTGTTAGGTACCACCTTAACATCATCTTAATATTCATATTGAGTCTTTGTATTAGTATTATGGACATTTTGAATTTTTCCGTGGGTTGGGTTAAAATTGTAATTTCGTGGATACTTGGAATTCATAGTTTTGCCAATTCTGCATACAAGCATGTAGAAAATGTATATGTCATTGGAACACTTAAAGTTGTGATTCATAATATAAACTGACGGAGTATAATTTAAAATAGATAAAAAATTAATTCAAGAGTCTCTTTACATATTAATTTTGGTTCTTGTAACAGATTTAAGTATAAACATTGGAATATGAAGAACTCTTCAAGCTAGTACTTATCTGGAAGATTTTGTATATATAGAAAATATAGGGATCCCATTTCTATTCTGAAGTAGTGAAGAGTTGGCGTTCACAATTAGTTAGTTCAATACAATTATTTGAAATAAGGAAGAGATGTTGGTCGTAGAAGTATATAAAGGAATGTAAACTTACTGTTTACTGATTGAAGTGTTTTTGTTTTCATATTAAAACAGCAATTGTAGTAAAATAATTTAGTATAAATTGAAATTTAAAGAAAACATGAAAATGTCATTGACGCTATCTACACACACATTTGAAATGACTGAAATTGGATTTAGATAGTTCAGGTTTTCAAAAGCTACAGGAATACAAATCAAGCAGGCAGTCTGAGTAAACTCTAAATTTCACTAAAGTCGGATCAAACCAAGTTCGACTTCTTAATAAATTGGTACCATAACTGATCACCAGTAAGTCCAGAATGGAATTAATGTTTTATTTTGGTAGAGACTTCGTCATAAGACAAGGATGAATGTCTAAAGTTTATAGAATTTTAAGAATTGTGTATTAACCAAAACCTGACGAGAGTGCACTGCATATTAATCAAAACCTCATGAGAGTGCACAAATAATATCTCAGGGATGTGGTTCTATAAAAAATAAAATATTTATTCAGGATATAATACTAACGAGTGTTTTAATGCACTAAAAGTATATTGTACTTTTTAATATATTCAGGATATTTAATTTTCGTGTGTTTTAGATATGCTATACAAAGTATTGTGTTTAGAGATTGTATAACTGAATCGGAATGATGATCCTATCTGATCTTAGTCATGTCACTGCATTAAATACACAATCATTTACTATCTTATAAGATGAAAAAATGTTTTTCTTTTTTAGGAAATAGAAATAATGGACAAGAAACAAGAAGAATTATTTGACCTTGAAAAGAAACATTTTGAAACGGAACAAATGTTGAGTAGTTGTCATGACAGGGAGAAAGAAAGGATCAAGGAACAGTTTGACAGGGAACAGGAAACTATTGAACAGAAACATAAAGATTTTGATGATCTTGAATTCAAACAGCTTGAGGTAACAAATGTTTTATACTTATTCTTATCAAAAATGGTGCTGTATAAAGTGTACTATCCTCGAGTGTGAAAGGTATTTAATTCAATAAAAGTCTCTGGTTGTCTTTTAGGGTGTTATCTGAAACAATGCAGTGTTGAGTGTACTCTCCTTGATTGGAAAGGTATCTAATTCAATAAAAGTTTCTGGTTATATGACCGCAAAAAAATTTTTGCGTCGTATAATACTATGATGTTGGCGTTGTCGTCCGAAGACAAATTTGGTTTCCTGACAATAACTAGTTTAAGTGAATGGATCTCTATGAACTTTTACCAGAAGGTTCAATACCACAAAAGGAAGGTTGGGATTGATTTTGGGGATGATGGTATCAACAGTTAAGGAATTAGGGGCCAAAAACAATAATTTGTGTGTAAGTGTATGGATCTCTCTGAAATTGTACCACAAGGTTCCATACCATAAAGGGAAGGCTGGGATTGGTTTGGGGGTAATTACTCCAAAAGGGGGGGTGGGGGTTCAAAAAGTTGGGAAGGGGGGGGGGGGGGTCATTTCTGCAACGTTTTTGAAATCTTCAATTGCACAGTATTGCGCAATAGCAAGAAATCTTCAATTGCACAGTATTGTGCAATATCACAGTATTGCACAATAGCAAGAAATCTTCAATTACACAGTTTTGCGCAATAGCAAGAAATCTTCAATTGCACAGTATTGCGCAATAGCAAAAAATCTTCAATTGCACAGTATTGCACAATAGCAAGAAATCTTCAATTGCACAGTATTGCACAATAGCAAAAAATCTTCAATTGCACAGTATTGCACAATAGCAAGAAATCTTCAATTGCACAGTATTGCACAATAGCAAAAAATCTTCAATTGCACAGTATTGGGCAACAACACAGTATTGTGCAATAGCAAGAAATCTTCAATTGCACAGTATTGCGCAATAGCAAAAAATCTTCAATTGCACAGTATTGCACAATAGCAAGAAATCTTCAATTGCACAGTTTTGCGCAATAGCAAGAAATCTTCAATTGAAAACAAATACAAATGTTTTAACCAATTTCGATGGGATTAATTAAGTCTTTAATTTTTGGGGATTCTAACCTTGTATAATTTTTTTGGATATTGGGCCCCATTTTTAAATTGGTCTACATTGAGGTCAAAAGGGTCCAAAATTAAACTTTTTTGATTTCATCAAAAACTGAACTATTTCGGCTGTATGATTTGCTGAATCTTATTGTGCATTTAGATTTTTATTTTGGGCCCTGTTTTCAAATGAGTTCATATTAAGGTTTGAAGAGTCCAAAATTAAACTTCGTTTGATTTCAACTAAAATTAAATTATTGGTGTTTTTTTATATGCTGAATCTAACCATGTTTTAAGATTTTGGATATCAGACCATTCTAGGTAAATTAAATGTCCCATTTCAAATTTTTAAGATCTTTGACCACATTTATTTTGTGTCAGAAACCTACATTATGTCAAAAATTTGATCACTATCCAAAGTCAGACAGTATCAAGCTTGAATATTGTGTCCAAACTTGCTCGAACTGTTCAGGGTTCGACCTCTGCGGTCGTATCAGGCTGCGCTCAGCAAAGCATTTTATTGACATTTAAAGTGTTATCTGAAATGATGCAGTGTTGAGTGTACTCTCCTTAATTTGAAAGGTATTTAATTCAATAAAAAGTTCCTGGTTGTCTTTTAAGGTGTTATCTGAAATGATGCAGTGTTGAGTGTACTCTCCTTAATTGGAAAGGTATTTAATTCAATAAAAGTTTCTGGTTGTCTTTTAAGGTGTCATCTGAATTGATGCAGTGTTGAGTATACTCTCCTTAATTGGAAAGGTATTTAATTCAATAAAAAGTTTCTGGTTGTCTTTTAAGGTGTTTTCTGAAATGATGCTGTATTGAGTGTACTCTCCTTAATTGGAAAGGTATTTAATTCAATAAAAAGTTCCTGGTTGTCTTTTAAAGTGTTATCTGGACAGATGCTGATTCGAGCATGTCTTGATCATACTTTCCTCAATAGGGAAAGATATTTCATACAAAGTTTTGGGTTGTCATTTAAATTTTATCTGTTGCCTCTATGTTAAACACTTAAGATTTTAACCAAATAATGGTTGTTGTGATGTTGTTATATGTCTAAATGGGGTGACACATGTTCTTAAAGACAGTTCTTTATTTAGCTAGCTCAAATCTTGTAATTGTTAGAATATTTGTATTTTGGAGATAGTTATGACTTAAATATGTATTCTTATGTTTTATTTTTTAGTCTGAGGCAAGATATGAGGAAGAAAAAGAAAAGTTACAGAAAAAATTAATGACTGATCAGAATAAACTTCTGGACCGATATAAAACTAGAGAGGTTAGAAATTACATTTTTTATAGAAATAGATTTTATGTATATGAGATACAGTCTTCTCTGTGGTTGGTATTACTATAAATTTTCACTTCTTCGTACTATGAACATCAAAATTATTTATTTTGTAAAAATATTTCCTTTCTCCATTTGAACTGTACACGTATACCTAACAACAAAATTATTTTCATTTACCTGTGTTTAAAGTAATTGCCAATGGCTGATATTTTTGTTCAAGCATATTGTTTTTCTTAAATTGTTTAACATTTCACAGCAGTATAACATGTTACTTTAATTATTCTTCCGTTAGTTTATTTATTTTGTATTTACATTGTATCATAGATCAAATTTATTTGTTCAGTGTATGTTCACTGGTGATAATATGTCTTTTGATTGAGTTAAGCCATTTCGATTGATATTTTATAGTGTGTCTTTCTATGTTGTGATGTTACACTCTTTTGATTGAGTTAAGCCATTTCAATTGATATTTTATAGTGTGTCTTTCTATGTTGTGATGTTACACTATTGTTTCAGATAAGGGTGAAGGTTTGATACCATTAAAACGCTTAAACCCGCTGCAAATGTTTGCACCTGTCCTAAGTCAGGAATCTAATGTTCAGTAGTTGTCGTTTGTTGATGTGGTTCATAAGTGTTTCTCGTTTCTTGTTTTTTATATAGATTATACTGTTGGTTTTCCCCTTTGAATGATTTTACACTAGTAATTTTTGGGGCCCTTTATAGCTTGCTGTTCGGTGTGAGCCAAGGGTCTGTGTTGAAGACCATACTTTGACCTATAATGGTTTACTTTTATAAATTTTGACTTGGATCGAGAGTTGTCTCATTGGCACTCATACCACATCTTCTTATATCTATTCTCAATGAATTTACATGTATTGTTTACATCCAAATAAGGTCTGTTTAAATTTGCAGAGTAACTTAATTTCAAAAGTGTTAATCTTTACTGCATATCAATCGATTTCGTTGGTATGCTTTCCTGAACTTCTCTGAATTAACTTCATATGTATACAGACAATTGACATGTTCCAGTGAGGTGTACAGCAAGTAGAAAGAATGATATTATTGTTACCTTCAACATCTTACTGTAAATGTAATATAAACTTGTCATTTCCTGTTTATGTTTATTAACAATATTTATAAGCAATGTTGTTGACTTTAAATCCAGATCTCAAAAGTTTTCTTTTTCCATTAATCAACAGTGAAGTATAAGTATTTTTGAGTTATCTCCCTTTAAATATAGTTTATGAATGATAGTGGGTAAAATTTATAGAAGAAAGAACAACTTTGAACTATTGTTGTAGATTTAAGTATTATAGAGCATTACAAATAAGAAACACAGTAAAATAGATGTTATGGTTATTTTTATTTCACATCTTTCTGGTAGCACTGTCAAGTATGAAATGAACATTGAAAACATGAAATTGCAATGATGATAATGACCATAATGATAAATCTGTTTTTTTTATTTTCAGAATCGTTTGCAGCAGATTGACTCACAACAACATGACATGTTATCCAGTGTAAGAAAGGACATAGAAAATCTGGAACAAAGTCGACTGGTGTTAGTAGAACAGTTAAAGAAGGTTTGTCACATGATCTGGTCAAAATGGTTGTTGTTATGGTTTCATTTAAATTTGAATTGTTGGAATTATTTAGATTTTATGCTTTATTTGCTTTATCTGTTGCCAATAGAATTGGTTTCTTTTTGTAGTACTTGATTATTTATACTATCCTACATTTCAATGGTCATCATCAGTACTAACTAAAGATGTTAATTCGGTTTAATTTCATGGATACCAAGATTCAAGCTCAAGTAGTCATCATTTAATCCGTAAAAAATTTCCTTATTATGTGATTCATTATTTAAGTTATAAAAAGTCTTATCAATGCTAGATTATAAATTACATTGAAATAATGGGGTAACAGAAATAGGAGAAATACCTGTGGGAATGAGTTGATATGTTGCATTGGGGATGGGATTTATAATATTATTTATTTTCTTGTATTGTTTAAAGTCACATGGTATATGTCTATGAATATCATTTTCAAAATTAACGAAATGAGGGTTGAAATGTTGGATATATTCTTTTATACTGCAGTATTTCAGTTATGATATTTTAATATTTGAATTATTTTAGTGCTTATATTTTTTCTGTTTGATTTATTTTTTGTTATTATGGAATGTTTTTAGTTTAACCTACAAATTATTTTGTTCCATTAGGGAATGTTTTGTTTAGTTCTGGAGTTTGTTTTCAGGAGAATACAAAATTAAGTGAGTTGAAGAAGACAATAAAAACACAGACAAAATCAGCAGAAGACATCTTATCTGACGAGGTATTAAATGTCAAGGACAAATATTCAAATCTATCAATATGTTTTTCTACTGGTTATTTTGGACTGTATTTAGTGAATTTGCTCCATCTTTTATGTATAAACATAATGTATGTTAACTAATTTACTAAAATGAGAACTTTTCTGAAATTATAAAAAAAAAAATTAATCTTTTTAAGAAAACAGCCTTAAGTCTTTTATTGAATAGTTTCAGAATTCTTATCAACTACTGTAAATTCAGAAATTATTGCGTGTAATTATTATTTCCATTATTGAAAACTGCTAGATGAATTATTGCGATTTCAGTAAAGCTTAATACAGATATATGTATCAGATATCAGAATGTGAGTTTTTAGTAATGCGATACTCAGCCAGTCGCATTATTCGCATTAATAAAAACCTCGCAATAATTTCTGAATTTACAGAAATTTGTACCATAGTAGACTGAAAAGAAGTTAGATGTATCATTATAAGATTAATTTAAATGCATTTTTAAGCATGCATGGCAGCTTTAAGGTTTATTACTAAATTTATCATTGGTTTTGTATTTTGTTGTAAGAATTTATATAACACAATGAATATGACAGGAAATCAGTTTAGGCAAAATAAAATATATCAATGTATAGAGATTCAGATACCTGCCTAGTCTGAAAAAAATCTGACTCGTAAGCAATATTTTTTATAAAGTGGAGCCTGAGAATAGGTCAATTTCTTTCACAATATCGGTTATACTGACAATACCTTTTGCAGAGAAAGAAAGAATGAACCTTGCCAGATTTAAACATTTCATTGTAAAGATTTATTTAGTATGTTGTTATTAGCTGATTATTTATTAAAATTTGACACTCGATAAGTCTAATAATTTTAGTACCTTTTTACACAGTTGAATTTGATTAATGGATATTTTTTTATATTTATTTGATATAAAATTTCATATCAGCAAGATAAACAACTAATCTGAAAACTTGTCAATTTCTACATTTACAGGAAAAACATGACAGTTTTTCTGACATCAACCAGAACTCCTCACAAAAATCTTCTCATTCAAGTTCAACAACTACAGTAACAAACTGGTTAATAAGCCCCACAAATTCTGCCAAAGGTGAGAGAAAGAAATCTGCCACAATGCTGGAGATAGAGAAAAATCATTCACTTTTCCTAGAGCAACAAGGCAAGTACTTGTACACTGGAAATACAGGAATTTGTCAGAGTTGTCTACCTTACCTGAGTTATCTCCCATAAAATCTTTAAAAAAAAAGATGTCAATGTACATCCTACACTGATTGAATATTGTTCAACATATAGAATTCAATATTAAAATAGATAAAGATATCATCAATTTCCGGAAATCTTAGTGCTTGTTAAGGTTTAAATGGCATGTCTTAAAATACCAAAATTAAACTAGAATGATTACCATCTTTTGTTGAAACATTTATCGCTCATTAAAATCAATGTCAAATTTTATTATGTAGGAAAATAATAAACTATCAATCTTTCCAATTTATATAAAATTTACTTTCATTTTTTTTTCTTCTAGAACATTGAACTTGTTTTTATTAAGAATCAATAGAATTACAACATTATGTATAATATACAAAGTTAATCGTACAAAGCAGTATCCTTATGTTCCTAATGATTAATAGTAGTTACTTATTATTTTAGGATTAAATAAAGATTATCTTTCCATATACCACTTATTTTAATATTTTCTCTGATTTATTCCATACTATAAAAGTAACTTCAGTATATGAAAATATATCCTCCATGGGAGATAACTCTTGATGAACTCTGACAACTTTCACTACTGAAGAAAATATTACAAAATCAATTTTGGAATGTCAATAAAATTGCATGACTAAAAGCCTAAGATAACAAATAAAATTCTCAGTGTACCAATGCTTGAATGTTATAGTGTTACTAATAACAGTGCAGATTCAAAGAGTTATATTTTTAATTTTAATTGCTTTTGGATTTATGTTTATTTGGGGGTCTTTTGCTGTATTTTGTAAAACACAATTCTGTAATTTGGGATGGCTGTTCATTTTCATTTTCATGTCAATATTACAAGCTAAATCTTTTTTTGACTCAATTTTCTGTTAAAAATATATTTACTGATAGTTTAATTTTTAGTTCGTTGATCCATTTTTCTACCTTCTGTAAGATAATAAATGAGAGTAAATGCTCAGTTGATGAATTTAATAAGATATAAGGATAAAATACCAGATTAATAAGCCTGATCATCTGTATCTTTGATTTTGCACATTTTATGACAATAAAAGTATATTATTAGATAGTAACACTTGTAACACTTTAGATTTATTGTAATAATTTTGTCTGGTTTACTTGTTATATACCAAGATAAACAATTCATTTCAAAAAAAGGTCACATGATTAAACATGAATTTTTATTTTGGTATTTAGCTGTTTCATCTGAGTCAGGTAAATGTTTGTACCAGTGTAATCTGCTTTAACTATTTGGTTTTATCATATTTTATCACAATCTGATTGAAACACAGATTCTGTGTCCAAACTTACCTTACAAGGAACTAACAACTCTCTGTTCTACTTTCTTTTAAAGACATTAACGGATCATCATCTTTTGCCCTAATGATCACACCTTCAAAAATTTGGGAGAAGATATTTTTCTTTGGTTGACAAAACAATTTTCATTACAGAATTTGAGAAGGTCAAAATGGAACATTGTTAGATCCATGAGAGACAGGAACTGTATTTCAGTCAGATGGATGTTTTATCATGGAAGAGGGAATTTCAATCTTATAATGTTGTTATTTTATATTAATTTGGCTTTGGAAAATATTTTTACACACATCCTTTTATAATTGGTACACCCTAACTGTTTTTATCCGAGTATTTAACATTGTCTTACTCAAGATAAACTTAATCTTCTAATCTGTGTTAAATTCAATGGGGTAAGCTATGTGACAGAGATTGTTATTCGGATCTACTCAGTATGTTATAGATTAAATAAAGAGAAGACAACTTTAATATGTTATTATAAATAAGAAGATGTGGTATGAGTGCCAATATGACAACTCTCCACCCAAGTCACAATGTATAAAAAGTTAAGACTGATTTTTTACTTGGTTTTTCTTCTTATAATTAAATGATTCATTAAAGTGGCATTAGCTAAGAGATATAAAAAAAATTAAAATATGATTTTTTTTTTTTTGTTCAATCATTAATGAAAGTGAAATAGTGAAATAATTATTCGCTTTTAGCAGCCAGTTTAGTTCAATTTTGTTAAAATAAGCTAAGAAACATCGCTGATGAATTACCTCATTGAATCCGTATTCATGTGACCTTCAATATAACCCATTAGCTAGAGATTGGTTACGCAAGTATTAGTCGTGTTCAGGCATTAAAAGGAAAAGAATGTCAACATTGAAAGTGAAACAAAGGTGAACCATTTCGTTGACTGATTCGATCCACACAAAATCATTCTTATACTGGTAAAAACGATGATTAACTTATTTTTTTAACCTATAACATGAAATCAAACAGACCTAGAAAAGTCCAATTGCACGAGGTTGCTATCTATTTATATTTATGTTTATATCGGGTTATGTGACTGTCGGCAGTCTATGGAGGTCATCTCGATGGTTAATTAGATGGCGTATGGACTAAAATACACATGAAAAGCTGATATATATTATCGATTCCATGTATTATTAATTATTTATTTCAGACTTATTGTAATTTTGATATACGTTTTAGTATGTTATAAATCAAATATGAGAATTTGAGTCAAATCGGTGAACATGAATTTGACAGCTAATGCCCCTTTAACAATGCATGGATAAATTTTGCTTTGGAGTAACAATTTGTTGAAATATTTATAAAATAAAATACATGAATGGGATAGGAATTGATGAATGTTTCATTATGAAGTATTTTATTGGCTTTTGAAGAAGCAGGAATATTCATTGACAAACACTAAAATGTAATTGGTTTTCTTTGGCTTTTCATTTTCTTGAATTTAAAAGGTAATAGAGGATATGCATAAGAGAATATCCTCTACAGTATTACAATGGTAGATCTAAGAGGAATGTGCATGAGACAATACATTGTATTATATATCGTAGATTAATTATTAAATTTGATAGTGATATTATATGAAAATGGAAGAATAGTCTATTTTTATGCCCCTGCCGTAGCGGAGGGGGCATTAAGTTTTATCCTTGTCCGTCTGTACGTACGTCCCAAAATTGGTTTCCATTCTCTAACTTGAGTTTGCCTCAACCAAATGTTTTGAAACTTATACACAATGCTTATTACCACTAAATACTGATCAAGTTTGAATTTTGGTGGCCTCACTTTAACCGTTCTAGAGTTATGCCCTTTATTAATGGAAAAATTCCAAAATTTTTAGTTTCCATTCTCTAACTAAAGTTTGCCTCAACCAAATGTTATGAAACTTATACACAATGCTCATTACCACATAATACAGATCAAGTTTGAATTTTGGTAGCGTCACTCTAACCGTTCTAGAATTATGCCCCTTTATAAATTAAAAAAAAATTTAGTTTCCGTTCTGTAACTTAAGTTTGTCCCAACCAAACATTATGAAACCTATACACAATACTTATTACCACAAAACTCAGATCTAGTACAAATTTGGGTAGCGTCATTTTTATTGTTTTTGAGTTATGTCCCTTTATAATGTTGTATGCAGGCGGGGGCATCATCTGTGTCCATGGGGACACATTTTCCATTTATTTTATTTTTAAAAAGTTGACCAGTATTAAAGTAGGTTTTAAAAAGTTGGTAGACGAGTAGATTGAGCAGATAATACAGTGATAGGAGAAAGAGGTGTTACTGTGATTCTGTGAATCTCGTAAAATGAAAAGTTCTATTTTGTCTTCAGTACAAATAGCATTTAGTGCACATCACATATATATATATAACAATAGGACCAATTTAGATCATATAATTATAATAGTATGGAACTTCCTGAATGTATTCTATGGTGTTAGAAATGAGTAAAGATTGAGGAAGTGTCTACTAATAGAGTACACCCACATTTGATGAATTAAATAATTGTCTATTGATTAACATTGTTTTCCTTCATTAGCCTACCTTCCTGATAGTGATGTAGTATCTCTGTACCACCTTTAATGAAGCATTTATTTTTGAAGCATTTGAAATATTACATAAGATATTTTTAATCTCCTGCCATGCAATTTGAGCTTAAAATCCTTTGATTTAGAATTAAGTTTATTATAGAAATAAATATGATCTAAGGATGAGAGAATCAATTTTTCGCCATTTACCGATATTATTTATGATATGTAATTTTTGCGATAAAAGGAGAGACTTTGATAATTGGTACTGAATGATGTAATAGACTTACAGATGAACCATTAAATTGACTAATTTAAGATAAGTGCAGTTCAAAAATATCTATGATAAATCTGTCTTTGACACAAACTCTACAGATGTAATCAGGTTTTCATCGATTTGAAATTTTTTAAAACAGAATCCACTTTGATTGATGCCCATTGTTTTTCACTGATTAATTTACACACGTTTACATGGAATACTATTTGCATATTAACAATTGATTTAATATTAAACATTTAAAAATTATCTATGATCTTTGATAGTCTATGTTAAATCAATTAACAGCCTTTCTGAACTCTGGTCAGTTTAGTTTGACATTTAACACTTGTCTGTTGTTTAAGACTGTATGATGACCTTCAGATGTCCTTTAGATTTTTGTTCTGTAGGTTTACTGTTATATTGACATATACTTTACATCTGGACTCTGGTCAGTTTAGTTTGACATACGACACTTGTCTGTTGTTTAAGACTGTATGATGACCTTCAGATGTCCTTTAGATTTTTGTTCTGTAGGTTTACTGTTATATTGACATATACTTTACATCTGGACTCTGGTCAGTTTAGTTTGACATATGACACTTGTCTGTTGTTCAAGACTGTATGATGACCTTCAGATGTCCTTTAGATTTTTGTTCTGTAGGTTTTCTGTTATATTGACATATACTCCACATCTGGACTCTGGTCAGTTTAGTTTGACATACAACACTTGTCTGTTATTTAAGACTGTATGATGACCTTCAGATGTCCTTTAGATTTTTCTTCTGCAGGTTTACTGTTATATTGACATATTCTCTACATCTGGACTCTGGTCAGTTTAGTTTGACTATGATGACCTTCAGATGTCCTTTAGATTTTCGTTCTGTAGGTTTACTGTTATATTGACATATTCTCTACATCTGGACTCTGGTCAGTTTAGTTTGACTATGATGACCTTCAGATGTCCTTTAGATTTTCGTTCTGTAGGTTTACTGTTATATTGACATATTCTCTACATCTGGACTCTGGTCAGTTTAGATTGGCTATGATGACCTTCAGATGTCCTTTAGATTTTTGTTCTGTAGGTTTACTGTTATATTGACATATACTCCACATCTGGACTCTGGTCAGTTTAGTTTGACTATGATGACCTTCAGATGTCCTTTAGATTTTCGTTCTGTAGGTTTACTGTTATATTGACATATTCTCTACATCTGGACTCTGGTCAGTTTAGTTTGACTATGATGACCTTCAGATGTCCTTTAGATTTTTGTTCTGTAGGTTTACTGTTATATTGACATATACTCTACATCTGGACTCTGGTCAGTTTAGTTTGACTATGATGACCTTCAGATGTCCTTTAGATTTTTGTTCTGTAGGTTTACTGTTATATTGACATATACTCGACATCTCCTTTTATTCAAATAAAATCTTCATCCTAACCTTTTACAACACTACTATGACTTAAATTGATATTCCATGATACAAGACATTAATTAATATTTGTAGACAAAGGCTTCTATTTAATCATGCGACACTATACATCAGGTCTTTTTGACACTTTCATCAGACTTTAATGACAAACTGAAGCTGGTCCTATTTCCGTTTAGCATCAAATAATTTAAGTCTGGGCTTGAACACTGAGATGTTGTTCTCTGCCTTGTATGATTATACAGAATGATGTATGAATAGCTCAACTAATTATATTTCTTTGTTTCTACAAGTTTTTTAACTCTTCAAAAGGACATTAGCCTAATTTTTTTTCTCCATTAAATCATTAATGTAAAAAATACTTTTTGAAGTAGAAAATAATGCGGATACTAATTGACATGACTTTTGAAATGAGATTGAAATGACTATTTAGTAACATACAGAAAGTTTATTCTGGTTAAATCAGTTAGTGAGAAAATGCATTTATGTATACCAGTTCATGTAATATATTTTTCCAGATAATGCATTCATTGAATTTTTTTCTCAAGTTTTTCCCAATTTTTTTCCCCTTGATTTTAGTTTGTTTAATACCACAATGATGTTTTCAGGCAGTACACTTATTGAACAAGAAAAGAAACGACTGGTTGAACTAAAAAGAAGGGCTGCAGATGAGGGGCGTGCCCAGTGGGAAGAACGCAAGATGAGAGAGGCCAATTGTAAAAGTTTTAATTCGTTAGAATCAGAAGATTCCAGCGTTGCTAGTAGTTGTGAAACACCATCAGAGAAAGAAACAACAAGGTAAGATGCTGCCCATTGTCATTTGTTTCAATGTATTTTGGAGGTAGAGATTGTTAAAGGTGCAATCGAATCCATAGTCACTGGCTGGTTAGCTTTATTTCAGCCTTCTTCTCTACCTGATTTTTGTGAGTACACACAACACATAGTTCAATGTGGTGAATGTTCTTGAGGTCCTATCCATGTTCATGTTAATTATACCCCACGCAACGAGTTGCGGAGGGTTTAATGTTTTTGACCCGTCCGTCCGTCAGTCCGTCAGTCCTATTACTTGTCATCGCAACTCCTCTCAAACCACACAACAGAATTTCACGAAACCTTTTTAGATAATAAGGACATACTATGTAGATGTGCATATCGACCGGAAATTATGATTCAATTTTTTTTCCAGGAGTTACGCCCCTTTGAACTTATTTGCCCAATATACTACTGCAACCTTTTGTCATCGCAACTCCTCTCAAACCACACAACAGAATTTCATGAAACTGTGTAGATAATAAGGACATACTATGTAGATGTCCATATTGACAGGAAATTATGATTCAATTTTTTTTTCTGATACAATTTTTTTTTGTTACACTTATTTTATTTCTCCAATGACAATGTGGGGACGTGGGGTGTGTGAGAGCGCTCACTAAGGTTCTTTAATTAATTCAGGGGCAGATCCAGTCATTTTTAAAAGGGGGGGTTCCAATTAGATGTCTCCATTCAAGTGCATTGATCGTCCAAAAAAAAGGGGGTCCCAACGGATCCGCCACTGTAATTTAATAATAATTATTACTTAGATATTCAGTTTACAAAATGATGTTATGTGTATTACAATACTAATCAAGAAAACGGTAAGATAAACACTTACACAAGTTTCATAGTGTATGAATCTATCTGTTCTACCTTTAGTTATGGACTTACACAAGTTTCATAGTGTATGGATCTATCAGTTTTACCTTTAGTTATGGACATACACAAGTTTCATAGTGTATGAATCTATCTGTTCTACCTTTAGTTATGGACATACACAAGTTTCATAGTGTATGAATCTATCAGTTCTACCTTTAATTATGGACTTACACAAGTTTCATAGTGTATGAATCTATCTGTTCTACCTTTAATTATGGACTTACACAAGTTTTATAGTGTATGAATCTATCTGTTCTACCTTTAATTATGGACATACACAAGTTTCATAGTGTATGAATCTATCTGTTCTACCTTTAATTATGGACATACACAAGTTTCATAGTGTATGAATCTATCTGTTCTACCTTTAATTATGGACTTACACAAGTTTCACAGTGTATGAATCTATCTGTTGTACCTTTAATTATGGACATACACAAGTTTCATAGTGTATGAATCTATCTGTTCTACCTTTAATTATGGACTTACACAAGTTTCATAGTGTATGAATCTATCTGTTCTACCTTTAATTATGGACTTACACAAGTTTCATAGTGTATGAATCTATCTGTTCTACCTTTAATTATGGACTTACACAAGTTTCATAGTGTATGAATCTATCTGTTCTACCTTTAATTATGGACATACACAAGTTTCATAGTGTATGCATCTATCTGTTGTACCTTTAATAATGGACTTACACAAGTTTCACAGTGTATGAATCTATCTGTTCTAACTTTAATTATGGACATACACAAGTTTCAAAGTTTATGAATCTATCTGTTCTACCTTTAATTATGGACTTACACAAGTTTCATAGTGTATGAATCTATCTGTTCTACCTTTAATTATGGACTTACACAAGTTTCATAGTGTATGAATCTATCTGTTCTACCTTTAATTATGGACTTACACAAGTTTCACAGTGTATGAATCTATCTGTTCTAACTTTAATTATGGACATACACAAGTTTCATAGTGTATGAATCTATCTGTTCTACCTTTAATTATGGACATAAAAAGGTAACTGAATCGAAAATATTGCCTAAATATTGTTTGGTCGCTGTCTCATTGACTTAACCCCCCCAAAACCTCCTTCAAGTCGTATTGTTCTCAAGTATGAGCTTTTGCCTCAGTTTTTTCCAACATGAACAGAAAAGCTTAGACATAGGTCCAAAGCAGATAGTCTTTGAATTTTAAGCCCAATGTAATATGCAGATCGACTTGATCATCATTAATTAGGTAGTATGAAGAGGAGAATTATTATCTGGTATACAGTGGTCAGTAACGGACATGGTTTCCTATACCAGATATCACTATTACATTTGATAACTGATTCATATAAAAAATAATGCTATGTTTGTTTTCCTGAAAAAATTGTTATTTTGAAATAATATCTAAATCATCATGATCGTAAAATAGAAAAAAAACTGTTGATTTTTGCTTTTTTTTTTTCTTAAAAATCTGATGTATTATAGCATTATTCAATTTATTGTGATGGATTGTGTTGCCTTGGTAAATATTGTCATTTAAAGTTAGTTTTATTTCCCAGGGTATTAGTTACTGAACGTTATTCACTTCTAATTTCCACTTTAACAGCTTTAGTTGAATTGAACATTAGAAAACAAAAAATAATGTTTTATTTTATCACCGTGCTATATCAATAACATTTTGTCATTTGCAATCAAATAGATACAACGTGATGAATATTTAAAATTTATAGTTTTACCAGTTATATAACTGGTGTTGGAAATATGCTCATTTAGTAAATTCTTTCATTTTCCATTGTTTCTGAATTTCTATATAAATTTTGTACCATGGTATATATGACACATTTAATTTCCTGGTATAAATAATTAAAAATCCAATTAAAAAGGATTATTGTGCTATCCAATCATCAATAGATACTGGCAAGATAGTCAAAATAAATATTAGTGTGTCTGGCAGTTGATAGTTCAATAGTCCTAGATTTTGAATTTTACGCCACCATGCCTGACCAAGATGAAAATGACATACCCTAATGTTTGGGAAAACCTCTTTCACGATGACATGCAGTCTTTCTTAAAAATCAACGTGCATAGTAGTAAAATACATTCTGAGATTATATCTTTCAAAACATTCCATAAATTATACTTTTTAAGGTTCCTTGATTTATTTATGATCAGGGGTGGATGCAGCCATTTTTAAAAGGGGGATTCCCAACCCAGGATAAATGGGGGGTTCCAACTATATGTCCCCATTCAAATGCATTGATCGTCAAAAAAAAGGGGGGTTGCATCAATTTACTTCAAACTTTTCACTGTTGTGAGGATCGGTAAAAGTAATTTCATTTTCAAATTCGAAGATATTTATATTTGCTATTTAACTGTTCTATTTTCATGCAGCAGTTTCAGCATGTATACAACACTCGTGGCATAGATGATTATAAAAATAGGTCAGATTTTTGTTGAAACAATACAAATTTTACTTCCTCTTGGCTATTAAAGTGTGTTATACAGAATTTCCACAGCAATTCAAAAGGCAGATTCATTTCTATAATTGCAGTTTAATTGTCACAATAATCCAATGCAAATATAGCAGAAAATTAAACACGCATAAAGATTCCTGATATATGATGATCCATTTTCGTCATTTTATTGTAGTTACACAATGTCAGAAAGTATAGAAAACCATGACATAGTCAACACTTCTTTTTCAGATATGACGTAAATAAATTTCCATAAATACTTTTAAAATTTTAATTAGTGTGCCGATGTTTGTTTAGAGACTTTTTAGGAACAGATAAAAAAAAATCAATTTTAAAAAATCCTGTCTATCAGTGATATAGAATGTCATAAATCTGACTGTTGAGTTATTTTAGTTATTTTTGAACATATATGTAGTTTTATGAGAATTGAAGTTTCAAAAGACATGATACATGTATTTATTTAGCTGAATTACTGATAACAAAATATTTATAGAATTGTAAATACAGATATTTATCCACTTTTCATAGAGATGCTTTTGAACTTAGTAGGTGTTTTCAGTCAAGATAAAAGATCAATATATTTGTCATTTTTTGTTATAACTTCTTTGCTTAGCTTATCATTTCTAATCAAGTGTCGGAAGGGATTAGCTTAATCTGTGTAGTTATATGATACTTGGTATCGCAAACTATACTGTTGTATTTGAAACTACAATGAATATATTAGAGTAATTTAACATGTTTTAACCAAACACCTGCTATATTTCATCTAAATGTAGTGTTTTAACAGGTTTGATTGTACAATATTTTGCATTTTTTGCTCAGAGGGCATTGTAAGCTTTCCTCATCACTTATTATTTGTCGTCTAGCAATGTAAAATTAAAACTCTTTTCCAAAATCCCTTGTCCAAATAGAACCAAATTAGAATACAATCATAGGATGTATAATTTCAGAGTTGCCATCAACCAATCAAAGACAGCTGTTTACACATAGGGGTTAAATAGGAAAATAGTATTTTTTATGGCTTTAACTAAATATTTCTCTAATTTTAAATGCATATTTTGTATTATGTAATTACTAGCTTCAGGTTACTTGTGAGTTTCATGTTAGTTGACTTTGTATGTATTCATGGCCTAAGTGACTATGTTAGTTGACTTTGTATGTATTCATGGCCTAAGTGACTGCCACCTTACTGTATTTGTATTTGTTGTAAGAAATAATTCCCTGTATAATTTTTTTCGAACAATATTTGCATGGTATCTGATTTTTCAAGTGCTGTTAATTTCAGATGAAAGATATAAAAGATAAATGTCTTGGGAAAAATGTACAGAAAAAAACCCAATTCTTATTCATTTCTACATCTTATCCAATAATATGTACCATTATATAGTCTTATCAGACCTAGAAACTGTACCATTATATAGTCTTATCAGACCTAGAAACTGTACCATTATATAGTCTTATCAGACCTAGAAACTGTACCATTATATAGTCTTATCAGACCTAGAAACTGTACCATTATATAGTCTTATCAGACCTAGACACTGTACCATTATATAGTCTTATCAGACCTAGAAACTGTACCATTATATAGTCTTATCAGACCTAGAAACTGTACCATTATATAGTCTTATCAGACCTAGAAACTGTACCATTATATAGTCTTATCAGACCTAGACACTGTACCATTATATAGTCTTATCAGACCTAGAAACTGTACCATTATATAGTCTTATCAGACCTAGAAACTGTACCATTATATAGTCTTATCAGACCTAGAAACTGTACCATTATATAGTCTTATCAGACCTAGACACTGTACCATTATATAGTCTTATCAGACCTAGACACTGTACCATTATATAGTCTTATCAGACCTAGACACTGTACCATTATATAGTCTTATCAGACCTAGACACTGTACCATTATATAGTCTTATCAGACCTAGAAACTGTACCATTATATAGTCTTATCAGACCTAGACACTGTACCATTATATAGTCTTATCAGACCTAGACACTGTACCATTATATAGTCTTATCAGACCTAGAAACTGTACCATTATATAGTCTTATCAGACCTAGACACTGTACCATTATATAGTCTTATCAGACCTAGACACTGTACCATTATATAGTCTTATCAGACCTAGAAACTGTACCATTATATAGTCTTATCAGACCTAGACACTGTACCATTATATAGTCTTATCAGACCTAGACACTGTACCATTATATAGTCTTATCAGACCTAGACACTGTACCATTATATAGTCTTATCAGACCTAGACACTGTACCATTATATAGTCTTATCAGACCTAGACACTGTACCATTATATAGTCTTATCAGACCTAGACACTGTACCATTATATAGTCTTATCAGACCTAGAAACTGTACCATTATATAGTCTTATCAGACCTAGAAACTGTACCATTATATAGTCTTATCAGACCTAGAAACTGTACCATTATATAGTCTTATCAGACCTAGAAACTGTACCATTATATAGTCTTATCAGACCTAGAAACTGTAGTTGCTTTTGTCATTGTATATTACATTGAAAACTATTAAGAATAAATAATGGTAAATGGTCTGCTGATTAAAAGACATTTCAAGTTTACCACTTAACCTTAACCTTAATAAAAAAAACATGGTTAGATCTTAATTTCATGGTTCAGTGATCAATCTTTTTTATGCTCATGATTAAAACTGCAACCAGGAATTTTGTCCAACAAGATAATTCAATGGCACCCATCCATAAATTGAAACCTACTTTGACTTCTTCTATATCCAGAAAAACGTTTTTATTTTTATTGTAACTTTGATATGAAACATCATCGACTTAAGAAACTTTGACCTGACAATATTTGTAATAAAACCTAATAATAGGTCTAACAATAGATTCTCAGTCTTGTAGACCTACTGAACATTACCATAACAGCAGGGTTCTTTTTTATGAGGATAATTGTCTTTTATGATCAATGTTTCCGTATATGCAAGCTATATTTAGAATTTTATATGATTTAGACAGTTTGACTTTCATGTGGATATCTTGACCATGTATTGTATAATTGAGAAACTCTTCTTAGATGTTGTAATTTTTATTTTCACAGTTATAGACCTATGACAGTTAAGGTGTTTTACAAAAGTCATCTCATTAAATCGACTTAATTATTATCCCTTAAATGTAAATAGTATAGAAAAATAAAATAAGTTGTCTGATATGCTCTACAGAACTATAGAATAATTTTTGTACTTTCTATTTGAAGTGATCTGTAACTTTGACATTAATGTTGAAAATACATTGTTAAGACTGAAAGCAAAGATCCATAGTAAATAAAGGAATAAAGAAGATTTTTTTACATTTCAAATTTCAAATTTTATCTACGGGGATTTCATGCCGATTAAACAAAATTTTATTTTTTTTATTTGATGTAATGTTTAGCAGCCATATATTTCAGTAAGTCTATCAGATCGATATATCTACTATTGTAATTGCTTAATATGCCACCGATTGTCCATCCCTGGAGACAGATCACAATACCTCAGTACGTAATTAGCTATTTAACACAATAAAACTCTTCATCGGCATTCTGCCGATGTAAATTATCTGCCATCCAATGAATAATTCATTACAGTATTATAAGGTAATTAAATGTAGTCAACTGTTAATCCTTGGTTTGTATATAGAGTGAATTTTATATGAGCTAAATTATTTTACAAGAAAATACCTACCTATTCAAAATTAAACTAAAATTAGTTAGTTATAATAGTGCCCTGAGTACTCTTTGTATAAACAGCACCTGTTAACTGTGAACAAATTAAGTTATAATTCACAGAAGACAGGTTTTATGGATGAAGCATTCCTGAATTAAAAGATAACCTCTCATACAAGACTACCTGCTGATAGTGGACATGATATTTATAACCATTATAGTATCAAGTTATGGTATGCCACCCAGATACATCAAATGCTTGAGGCATACCATGCCACCCAGAAACATCAAATCTTTCGGGCATGATATGCCACCCAGCTACATCAAACATTTAAGGCATATACCATACCACCTAGATAGATCAAATGTTTCAGGCATACCATGCCACTAAGACATATCAAACGTTTGAAGTATAAGACGCCACCCAGGTACATTAAATGTTTCAGGCATAACGTGCCACCAAGATACATCAAATATTTGTGGCATACCATAATAAATTATAGGTAACCTATAGAAAGATTACCTGGTTAGTATTCTTTGTTCATATATCTCTATTGTATAGACAGGTTCCCTGTCTATGGTATTGTTACCGAGATACAAGTTCCTTGACTCTGAAGGTTGCCAGTTCATTGTTGACATTTTATTTTTTCTAGTTAATGGCTATAATTTACAAGTCTGATTTTATGTAAATTATGTTTGAATACCCAAATTAAGGCATGTCAGATTCTAATGCAGGCGCGTAATGCAAAGTAAAATGCATTTTATTTTGCTGATTAGATGAAATTATTTACATGTACAATTCAGTAGATAATTTACTGTGAACAGGCTAAATTATTGGCATGTCTAGTTTTAAATAAAATTTGTGATGATTTCTCAATATTTACCTCATTTTGATGTCTAGAACTATCTGGCAATAAAAAGAAATTTAATTAATTGATTATATTATATCATATTTACCGATTCCGATTAAAAACAGTTCAGTCAGAAAATTTCAATTTATTTTCACTTACTACAATGAACGTTAATTAATACCCTGCCCATTAAAATATCATCAGACTTGGATCTAACCTTTATCTGAAGTATTTAAACAGACTCATAGTGGTGCCCAGTAATGTGTTTTAGGGATTAGTAAAGTCTGACAAATGTTCCTTGTAGGAGGCAGTCTTATAAAACAATCACTATTGTCAGGATTTCAGTCTTGAACATAGATTTTCAGAATTTTATTTAATGGTGAAGGAGAGGGAAGTTGTAAGGTCATAGAAAGTTCAAATACATATTAAAAAGGTCGTAGCTTACAATGATGATTGTGAGACAGAACGTTCATAGGTATAGATAATCAGTAAACAAAAGTTCACAAGTCACATTGATAATCAGTAGACAAAAGTTCACAAGTCACATTGATAATCAGTGAACAAAAGTTCACAAGTCACATTGATAATCAGTAGACAAGAGTTGACAAGTCAAATTGATAATCAGTGCAGTAATCAACCAAAAAAATTACTGGATTTGATGTTGCAAGCTCAAATTTTGTACTCTGAGTACTAAGTCAAGTTTTATGACTTGAAGCCCAAGCCTTGCAGTCATAAACATTTTTAGCACGATTATCGTACTCAGACTGTGAATTCAACCAATCAAAATACTGGATTTGATGTTTGAGCACAAATTTTGTACTCTGAGTACTGAGTCAAGTTTTATGACTGGAAGCCAAAGTGACAAAAAATTCATAGTTTACATGTACTATAAATATGAGACAAAAAGTTCATAGGTTAAAACTAGGACTAATACATGAAGAATTGGTCCCAGGTTAAAATGATAAAGATGAAACAAAAATTTCAATGGTTATGTTGATTATCAGAAGACAAAAGATTTAATTCATTTCTGCCTTTTGAATATTTTTGATTAATAAATACAGTGAATCTATTAGAAAGCCATTTTGTTGCTGAGAGCTAATTTAAAAATCTATTTACAATTGTTCTAAGAGCAGTATAATCTAAAGACAGTATAAATAATTAAGGAAAATGACACGTGAAAATGTAAACTCAAATTAACATTTAAATTTTATACAAATTTAATTGTATTAGATCTTTGAAAGACAGAAACGATTGAAGTTCTACTTGTAAGGAGAGATCATTTGAATTTCTCAATGTAGGAAATAATTTGAGTTCTGCCTGAAAGTAGGAAGCAAGAAATAATTTGTATCAATTAGTTTGAGTGTAATTTTTAATTCTGTCTGAGATTTAAGATGTGTTGAAGTGTAGGTGGAATTTTTAAATCTTCCATCTGACAGTGTATTGTGTTGGTATATAAAAAATCTATATGGGAAGGATCTTTGTTGGCAATGCTAAGAGCAAATTTAAAAATGTATTTTAGATTGATCTTGGAAGAGCAGTATATTCTATAGATATAAATAATTAATGGGAAATGACAGATTTAATTAAAGGTCAAAGATGTTATTTTTAATTGATTGAGAAAAGCGTTTTACTATACTATATTTATGTGACTGCTGGTGGCATGAAAAAATCTGTCAGAGACAATTGCAAAAAAACACATTGTCACTTGACATTATGTCTAAAAAAAACAATGGAAAATTTTGTGTTATTTCAAAGCATGGCATAGTTTGCTATGTGAAGATTAAAGGATGGTCAAATGGTCCTATTATGCCCCTTTCCAATTCTAATAGTTTAATATGCGTACACCAAAAGATGGTCAAATGGTCCTATTACGCCCCTTTCCAATTTTAATAGTTTAATATGTGTACACTAAAAGATGGCCAAATGGTCCTATTATGCCCCTTTCCAATTCTAATAGTTTAATATGTGTACACCAAAAGATGGTCAAATGGTCCTATTATGCCCCTTTCCAATTCTAATAGTTTAATATGTGTACACCAAAAGATGGTCAAATGGTCCTATTATGCCCCTTTCCAATTCTAATAGTTTAATATGTGTACACCAAAAGATGGTCAAATGGTCCTATTATGCCCCTTTCCAATTTTAATAGTTTAATATGTGTACACCAAAAGATGGTTAAATGGTCCTATTATGCCCCTTTCCAATTCTAATAGTTTAATATGTGTACACCAAAAGATGGTCAAATGGTCCTATTATGCCCCTTTCCAATTCTAATAGTTTGCTATGTGTACACCAAAGGATGGTCAAATGGTCCTATTATGCCCCTTTCCAATTCTAATAGTTTGCTATGTGTACACCAAAGGATGGTCAAATGGTCCTATTATGCCCCTTTCCAATTTAAATACATTTTGTAGTTTGATATGTGTAGACCAAAGGATGGTCAAATGGTCATCTCCCTTTCCAATTTCATAACCCAAGGTCAACTGGGGCAGTTCATTCATAAACCTGAAATTATAAAGTCGTCTACTATTAAAATCCTGCATGGGTGTTAAACAAATTTTTAGTAGTTCAATTAATATTTTAGAATTTTTATTTTCAATTCTACTTGGATAGAAATTCCTTTCCTAAGGTTTCTCTTTATAACAGCTCTTAGGATTATATGCCAAAGATATTGCATAACAAATTTCAAGCTAAAAGGAACAATGCTAGTTATAAAACAAGGCAACTTGGTACATAGAATAAATCTCTGTGTCCAGTATATTCATGTGTCCATTACATATCATATAAAGTCCATAGTTGCTTTTGTTATACCCTTGTTATTAAACATTACTTTGTCAATAAACGGCACTGTAAAATAATTTAAAAAGTGTCAACAGCAAAAAGTATCTCCAATTGATTTTACCAATTTTTATGCCCCACCTAGGGGCATTATGTTTTTCGGTCTGTGCGTCTGTTTACTCTCCCATTCCGTCTGTTCATCCGTCTGTCCCGCTTCAGGTTAA